TTTGGTGGAACCGACCTTCGAATCTCTTCACCCAACACTTCTACTCGAAATGGAAGTAATCCCAACAAGCTCTACTTACGGCTGGATGGCCAAACCTTAGTTGCTTCTTCAGATAGTCATGGAAACTGGAGGCCTGCTCTGCCGGGGTTTGACTCAGAAGGCTGGACCCTCTGATCATCGCATCCTTTCATGTGGCCCCAGCTCTTGGTTGGCACCATCTCCACAGGCACTGACACGAGCTCGCCGCGACCGAAACTTCACTCCGCTCTGCGGAGGACGCCGCGTTTTCACGTTGATAGGGCCAACTTGGGCTTTTTCATTTTTTTCCCCATGCGACGCCACATGAAGCAGGATGTGCTCCGGCGACAATCGGGCACATGGCGACTGAAAATGTCTGATGCAGCAAACGACTTGGTCTAGTCAAGTCGGACAAATGACAGTCAGAACAATGGAATGGCGTACATTGTGGGCTGGTCCTGCGTTGACGGGTGGAATGCAAGCATTTTTCAAGCTAGTTACTGTTTTTAGGCTTGAGGCTAGAGGCTAGAGTCTAGTTTAGTCCCGTCCTGTCGTAGAAGTATGCGAATTAGACGTCAAAGCGAGCAAAGTGGTGTATGAGGCACTGCGATCAGTCGCGAGGACAGTGTCCGTCTGTCATGGAGGAAATGTCATCAGCCTACAGCTTGTTTATCCAGACCCATATCGAGACATCAGATGGTTCTGTCTTCGAAACCGCCTCAGTTTGGCACAAGTCATGCCAAACTCGTAAAATATCATCTTCGGCGTATGAGCATCTTCTGAACTCCGAGGAGCTCAAGCTTTGCTCGGGGGCAAGCGAATCTTTGGTCGTCAAGCCGATGTTCTAATGCACGAGGTTGAGGAAATAACGGGTTTCACCCCACTTTCTTGACCAACTTTACACGATCGCGTTGATGTGACCTCACACTCCGTTTCACACCTTCTGACCGTCCACGGAGAACCAGATTAGACGGCCACAGGCTGGCACATGTCCATAGTCCGTTCATAGACGCATCCGCGATGCTCACTGCCAGGCCCACGTGGGATTGGTGATGAGGGTGAGATGTGGTTGAGATGAGGCAGTTTCTTCATACACGAACTTAGTCGCACTTATTTCATATCAGCCAAGACCGGACATTCCCAAATCCCTTTCAAGGTGGGATGGCCAATGGGATAAACTAGTATTGGCCCGTGAACTCGACAATGGTGCTTTCATTTAGCATGAGTATGTTTAAAAAACTTTCAGCAATTCTTGAATAGGAATTTATTCATCCTTTGTCGCCTAATTTGATCTAGGGAATAATAGTAGGTTAATTTTCCCAAATTATATGAATAGGTCTCACGAGGCCTAAAATTAACAAGTTTCCCGTGGCGACGTAGCGAATTGGCAACATGTCGCCACAATTTTCGGGACCCGATTACGAATACCGTTGAGCGTGCTTAAGGATTTTTAGAGATGATAAAAAGTGAAATTTATTGCCATCATGAGGCCTCTGCATAACGTCGTGGTGAAATTTCCTCCATCAGTCCGTAAATCACCTGAGGTATGAAGACCAAGATGGTGTGGCCTTTTGTATGGTCGCAGTCTCCTTTCCTTGTATAGAAGTTGTTTGACCTTGTTTTCGCAAGTTGGTCATATTGGTAGGAAGACTTAGAGGAACGCACTTTGTCCTGAGTCCATTGTATGCATAACCATTTCCGTGGACGTGGTACATTCCCAGACATCAGTGAGTCTTGCCAGTCTTAGCATCATACTACAACTCGTCAAAGAGACAAGTGAAGCCGATCTTAAGTCTTACAATATCTTTTGGTTCCACTCAACCTTGCCTCTGAAATGTTAGAATGCAGTTGGCTTCTCTCAAAAGTCTCATCAAAACACTCGATGACAATCAAAATAGAAGCATGAGCATTGGAAAATCTTAAATCACATTTATGGTGGCATTATCGCTGAGGCAAAGTCCTATTTGTGATTAGAATTGACGACACTACTTATATTCTGTAAGAGTAGGCCTTTAAGGTATTGATAATTCTTGAATAATAATATAGTAACAAGTTGTTTGT